AAAAAAAAAAAAGTTGAATACATAGAAGTAGAAAATAGAAGTGGTTATCAGAGGTGGGGTTGGGAGTGGGAAGGGAGGATGAGGAGATTTAGATCAAAAGGCACATAATTGTAGTTATGTAGGATGAGTAAACAGAGCTGAGATACAGTATGAGGATGATAGTCAATAGTATTATATACTGGAAAATGTTTCAGAGAGTGTGTTTTAGGTGCTGTTACCATGACGAGTATGTTGAGTTGCTTACCTGTAGTAATCTTTTCACTATACATATGTTTATCAAGACATCATGTTGTATAGTCCTTGAATTTACAAAATAAAAAAAATTAAAACTTGGCCCTGAGCTCAAAAATCCACAATAAACCACTACCACTGTTCAGTCATGGTCCTGCTCTATGATAGGACAAGTCAGATATATTTAGCTTCTTTTTCTAATTGCAATTCACAGAACTAATGATGGTCAGGTTTATAAGAGTGAATGAAGGTCTTAGTTGACACTATTAGCTCAATAACATGATAGATTCAAATATTCTCTACAGAGTAGCTGCTATTAAATTATATGATGAATACTCACAGGCTTTAAACGCTCTTATTTTCTCACAAGTTTATAAATTTGTTCAGCTCATCTTTTTTCCAATTTAACTTTTTTTGTTGTTGTTGTTGAGACTGGGCCTCACTGTGTCACCTGGCTAGAGTGCAGTGGCATCATCACAGCTCACAGCAACCTCAAACTTCTAGGCTCAAGCAATCCTCCTACCTCAGCCCCCCCAATAGCTGGGACCATAGGCATTCACCAATACGCTTGGCTGATTTTTCTATTTTTTGTGGAGATGGTGTCTCACTCTTGCTCAAGCTGGTCTCAAACTCCTGGCTTCAAGCAAATCTTCCACCTTGGCCTGCCAAAGTGCTAGGATTATAGGCATGAGTCACTGTGCCTGGCCTATGCACATATTTTTAATCACCATTGGTTATAACACATCTCAGCAGATTTCACTTTAGCTGTATTAAATTAGTGTTTCTCAACTTCGTTGAAATATTCTTGCCTACAACGGTTCTGTACATACTATTTGTAGAGACTGGTTCTTCAGTCATTTCAAACTAGTTTAAACAACAACTGAGCAATGTTTGGAACATCTGCCTACTCATCAAGAGCCAAGGAAAACCAAAAATCATTGGCCTTGTTTTTAATTGACTATTGATGTTGTTCCCAATGTCAACTCCTTGAACAACTGTTCTCACCATAAGGCTAAAATCTTAAACAAGCTTATTTTTTCCTGCACGTGCTCTTTTTTCAGCCACTGAAATCAAACATGTTTTAATTAACTCACCATTGGTAAATGTCTTTCCTTGCTTGGATAACACATTGGCTATTTGAAAGCTTACCTTCATTGTTGCTTTATTTTTATTTATTTATTTTTTTGTGAAGAAATTCTGCTGTGATAATTCTGTTTTAAATTTTCTAATTTTTCTGACCTTTGCTTTCATGTGAGTTGGGAACATCGTGATGAGTGCTTAGTCTGGTAATGTGACATTTCCTGTATTCTTTTAGCACAGTGTCATTGTATAATAGAAACTATATTTTGCCATTGAATTTGATAACAAAATAATCTACACTCCATTTTGCCTTAAAAGTGCAACAAAGTTCACTTCTTGTTTTGACATGATGAGTATGAATTTTAAAACATCAGGGTATAGTGATACATTACCTGAAACACTGCCATAAGGATGTCATGAATTTACAGCCTGCTGAGCAAGAGTGCAAAGCCTTCAGAGAATCGCACGTGGTCCAGCAGAAATAGACAATACATAAGCAAAGGAGCATGGTTGTGTCTCCACACCACTTTAAAGATGCTGGAATTTCACTGGGCAAGAGACATGAATAGAACCTTCTCTAAAGAAGACAGATGAGTGGCTAGCAAACCTATGAAAAAATGCTCATCGTTCCTGATCATCAGAGAAATGCAAATCAAAACCACCCTAACCCTAGTGAGAATGGCCTACATCACAAAGTCTCAAAGCTGCAGATGCTGGCGTGGATGTGGAGAAGGGCACACTTTTGCAATGCTGGTGGGACTGCAAACTAATAAACCTTTTGGGAAGAAAGTATGAGAATTCTTAGAGAACTCAAATTAGACCTCCTATTTGATCCTGCAAGCTCATTATTAGGCATCTACTTAGAAGAAGAAAAATCATTTTATCATAAGGAAATTTGCACTAGACTGTTTAATAGCAGCTCAATTTACAATTGTGAAAATATGGAAACAATCTAAATGCCCACCAACCCAGGGTTAGATTAAAAAGCTGTATATCATGCAATACTATTCAGCCACTAAAAAAGATGGAAGTTTTACATCCTTTGTATTAACCTGGATAGAGGTGGAACACATTCTTCTTAATTAAGCATCATAAGAATGGAAAAGCAAAAATCCAATGTACTCAATTCTGATATGAAGACAATAGATGATCTGATATGGGGAGGGATTAGGGGAATGAGCAAGTGGGGAGAGGGGAGGAGGTAGGGGGTTGGGGAGTCACAATGTGTGGCACACCTTTTGGGGGCAGAGCACAATTATCAGAGGGTCTTTACCTAACAAATGCAATCAGTGTAACCTAATTCTTTGTACCCTCAATGAATCCCAAATAATAATTTAAAAAATGCTGGAATTTGAATTTCATATAATTTTTGTGTGTCAAGATACATTACTCTTTTCATTTTTTCCAACCATTTAAAAATGTCAAAATCAGCCTTAGCTCGTGGCTGGCTGTATAAAAACAGGCTTTATTAAAGAAGGAGGGTGAAAAAGTCCAAAGCAAAGATCAAAGCAAAGAATCCCATGCCACTGCAAGCTTCCTGTTTCACCTTCTTCAATCTTAGGTGTAAGATATGATGAAGGTTGCAAAAAATGTATCCAAAAGGTAACCCAAACTAGACACATTGTCAAAACCGTGCTATTGGTTTACTCTTGTTATGAATGCACAGGAAAGCCTTGAAGGTACTTGCATATATAATAGCACTCAGTATCAGATATGTGCGGCCCCCCAGTGGGCCAGCTATTTGCTACAATCCTTCCGAATCCCCAGAGCAAACTGAATTTGCTATGTGGTATACTGAGATTTCCAGAAAGACAATAACCCAAGTTATAATGGAAGGAATACCTAAACAAGTAGAAAGAAATCATTAATAACAATTTTGCAATGTATACAGACACGTCTTTTTATATTTTCAATAACAATTAGACATTTTCCATTTAGAAATACTATATATTTCTGAAGAATTATTTCTATGTATTTCATATTTTGTGTTGTCATGTTAACTTTAATTCTCTAATTGTTAATGGTATACAATGGGATTTGTATATTGAACTTAAGAAAAAATAATAAAATAATGGTAAACATAAAAAAAAAAGACTTTAGGCTCAGCGCCTATGGCTCAACTGGCTAAGGTGCCAGTTATATACACCTGAGCTGACGGGTTCGAATCTACCCTGGCCCTGCCCAACAATAATGACAGCTACAACTGAAAAATAGCCAGGCATTGTGGCAGGCGCCTATAGTCCCAGATACCTGGGAGGTAGAAGCAGGAGAATCTCTTGAGCCCAGGAGTTGGAGGTTGCTGTGAGCTGTGATTCCACAGCACTCTATCAAGGGCAATAAAGTGAGACTCTGTCTCTAAAAAAAAAAATAATAATAATAAAAATAAAATAATTAAAATTAAAAAAAAAGACTTTAAAGCTGATCTCTACCAGTGTGACATATATATTGAGTTAGGAACAAATACATTATTGGTTATCTGTGATTTTAGATAATATATTTAAGTATGTGGTTGTTTTACAGCCAAAGTTTGGCTATATATATAAAGACCTATCTGTGCTTAAAGAAATTTTGTATGAAAAAATTACTGTAATCTCATTTGTAACTTTAAGAACATAGAAAACGACTTGATTTTGTACAATCATTAGCGATGAAGAAAGCTTTCTTTTTAAAATTTTATGCTTCAGGAAACATTGTAGAAAGGTGCAGTATTAGGTGGCTGGGACCAAACCATTTATTTTTGTAAGTGTCTGAAATTAGGTGGCTATAAACTTAATTATCTTGCTATTAATTTGACTGTAATCTGACATGTATTTCCAAATATTCAGCAACAGCTGGCATTCCAGATGGAGCTGGAAATGCAAGAAAAAGAGAGACAGAGAATAGAAGAACTGCAGAGAGCTCAAGAACAGCTAGAGAAGGTAATTTGAAATTTTATAAATGTCTGTTTTATTTAAAACTTTTTAGAATCCTCAAACTGTTTCTTCCAGATACTATAGTAGAAAGATCATGAGATTCACACTCTATAAAGGCCTGTCACACATTAGCTGTGTAACTTAGAAGGGCTCATAAGCTTTTTCATTCTTGGTTTACCTTTTTCAAAAATAGAGATAACAATATTATTTATAGTCTGTCCTATTCTACTCTATTCTATTCTATACAATATCTCATTAGACTTTTCTGATGATCAATTATAATAATATACATGAAAATTCTTTGTGAGTGGTAGAGTTCTTTAATAATGTTGATACTCTCAATATTTTAGTGAAAAGCTAGCTGTTCCTAATTATGGTAGCTGACATTGATTTGAAGTTTAAATACTTTGTAATATTGAGGATATTCTGATCTCTGAGACCATAGAACATCTCTTCATGTTTGATGTATTCACAATAATTTTCATTTTAAAATATTTTTATGTGAATTTTCATGCCTTTCATTAAAAATAAACTATGCAGTGTCCAGGTGCACTGGCTCATGCCTGTAATCCTAGCACTTTGGGAGGCCAAGGCGGGTGGATTGCTTGAGCTTACAGGTTCAAGACCAGCCTGAGCAAGAGTGATACCCTGTCTCTAGAAACAGCTACTTGGGAGGTTGAGACAAGAGGATTGCTTGAGCCTAAGAATTTGAGGTTGCTGTGAGCTATGATGCCACAGCACTCTATCAAGGGCAACTAAGTGACACTCGGTCTCAAAAAAATAAACTATGCAGTAATTTATTTCAGAATAGCCCACCTTCATTGAGTGTGTCTGTATAACGTCAAGTCTCTAGTTTGACAGCATTTCCTGGTATCCAAAAAGTGTATGTCACATACAGCAAACTTCTGGTTGACTGAGTTTATAGCCACTATCTCTTACTCGAATGTCGCTCCCATTATTTATTTCATTCAAATATAAAAAGGAAATTAAAATTGAAAAGAGAGGCTCAGGTGGGTTGCTTGAGCTCAAGAGTTTGAGACCAGCCTCAGCAAGAGCGAGACTCAATCTCTAAAAGAAAAGAAAAATTGAAAAGAGAAGCAGAATATAAATATTCTATAAAATATTTACAGAATATGTTCAGTAAGTTTATTAATGCTTAGATGAGAGCCTCATTATTTAAAGCAATTTTTAAAAGTGTGAAGCATGAATTAAATTTTTAAAAATATTTTTAAAGGATAAATTCTAAGCTCTATACATGGTTTACAGAGGATAAATTCTAAGCTCCATACATGGTTTATACAAAGGATAAATTCTAAGTTCTATACATGGTTTACAGAGGATAAATTCTAAGCTCTATACATGGTTTACAGAGGCTGATACTCTCTTAATTCGAGTGTAAAAGGAGCATGTGGACATGTATATATGCACACATTTGTTTAAGTAACCTCTTTCTCTTTAAGATTCACAAAGAAATGAAAATGTTTAAGGTGACGGATATCAAGTAGGACTTGATCATTACATACAGTGTGCTTGTATCAAAATATCACGTGTGCACCATAAATATGTACAATTATTATGTATCCATAAAAACTAAAATAATTCAGCGAACTAAATTGAAAGAGGAAACGGAAACCAGGAACATATCAAGAAGACAATGATCGAAATAAAAGAATTTAAAGTATTTTTGTATTGAGATGACCAGATAGCTATATTTAAATGCTTAGAAGTCTATAGAAAGTCTTGTACCCTCAATGAATTCCCCAACAATAAAAAAGAAAAAATTTAAAAAAAGAAGTCTATAGAAAGGACCAACAATTACACACTTATCCAAACGATAAAACACAAATGTAATCTGGGAGGTGGGCAGGGTGAGGATGGAGGGGGAGGGGCAAGAGGGGAGGAGTAGAGGAGGGCGGCTAGGGGGAGGAGGAGGTAGGGCATTTGCGGGATCTCACCTAATGTGCACAAGGTGAAGGTGTTCAGCGTGCCCCAAGGTGAGGTGCTCTTCTGCAACTTGAATTTTACCTTGGCAGTGAGAACAGTGTAACCTAAAAATTTGTATCCTCATATTAATTTGAAACTAAAAAGAAAAAGAAAGGAACAGCCTTTGGTTTGCAGTTCCAGCGTGTTGCATTCATGTTATTTCATTACCTCTTGGCTCATGTGATCAGAGTCACAATAACTGTAATAATTCATATTCCTACTGACTTATCTTCCCTCACCTTTCCCCCTACGAAGTACCCCTGCTTCACCCATTGCTCAGAGATGAGTCCCTTCGTGTCATTTGCCGTGGTCTTCTTGTGGCTGACAACACATAACTTAGCATTTGTAAAAGGAAATTTACCTGAAGGATTCTGGTTTGAAGAACGTGCTTAACAAGTGAACTGTGAAGGACTCTGGTATACAACTGGGCTTTGCAAACCTTTGGGGGCAAGATGAGCAGATACTACCAGGATCTCACCTCTGCTGCCCTCTGGAGGACAGTGTCAGTCTCTTGCACTATGGCCTGAGAGTGCTTGACACATGGGTGACAAACGCCATCCTTCATAGCTTCTCTGAGCCTCGTTATACTGTAGCTCTTACCATCCAACAGCGATATATTCTAATTTTTTTTGTTTCGGTTAAGAAAAGAATCTTGGGGAAGGATTCCAACTAGTTAAGTTTGTGTGAAATATGTATCTCTGTGGCTGAGGGACATGGTCCTTTAAGGATATGGAGGCAGGAGGATCGCCTAGGTCCAGGAGTTGGAGGTTGCTGTGAGCTGTCATGCCAAGGTACTCTACCAAGGCTGATAAAGTGAGACTCTGTCTCTAAGAAAAAAAAGAAAAGAATATGGGTGTTCCCAGTATGGCCTTGTGGATACTGGGATAAGAAGTTACCAGGAAAATGGACTGAACTTGGGGAAACAGTATCATATACGTCCCTGTAATTAGGGTGATCATGGATATCACAAATCTCCCAACAGCCAAAACAAATCAGCTCAGAATCAGTTAGATCACCTTCTGACTTAGAGTGCAAAGATGGATGGAGTAGCGGGGCTTGGCACAGCTAGAAGAACATCTTCACATCCAGCAAGAGGCCTGCATGGTGGGCAGTACATTCCTACCACGGTGTTCAGAGTACTGTAGAGGGCAGTGCTCAGGTATCCTGGACAAGATGTATGCATTCGATAGTGACTTGGGCCAGATTAATACCTTCAGAAATATTCTTTTTTACTAAGTGCAAAACTTCAAGTTCTAAAAGAATTGATTAGAATTTTTATTTTGTCACTTTTCACATTTGCTAATACTTTGGCTTCAGTCCACTTCATTTCTAACAAAGGTTTATTTATTTATTTTTGAGACAGAGTCTCGCTCTGTCACCCTGGGTAGACTGCCCCAGCATCATAGCTCACAGCAACCTCAAACTCTTGAGCTTGAGCAATCCTCTCGCCTCAGCCTCCCGACTAGCTGGGACCATAGGTGCCCATCATGATGTCTGGCTAGTTTTTCTATTTTTAGTAGCGATAGGGTCTCACTCTTTCTCAGGTTGATCTCAAACTTCTGAGCTCAAGCAATCCACCTGACTCAACCTCCCAGCGTGCTAGGATTACAGGTGTGAGTCCCACACTCATCCTAAAAAGTTTTACTTAGAAGTTTTATGTATAAAACATGCTTGTCTTCTATAACTGTAAAGTATTACTGAGACTGCAATCTGCAGTTTTGTGATAAGTGTGTTTGCAACATTCCTTAGAGAATGATAGCATTTTTGCTTTAAATTGATCTTTACATTATATAAAGCTAAAAATGCTTGAAAATTAAACATGGAATCAAAATGAAGTGTGTTCTAAATATTTTTCCATTTTTACATATTATAGCAGAGGAGAATGAATGAGGAAAATATGGCTAAGAGTGAAGATACTTTACATTCAGAGGTGAGAAGAAAATATTATTTTATGTGACATGAATGTAAAGCTTAATTTTGATGTGTTAGTAGCTAAATTTTTAATAAGGATGTCAGAAAAACAGATAGTCCAAATATATAATCCAATAACAACAAGTCATAATTATATGCTTTGAAGCAAAGTCTCAAAGTAAATAAAATTGGACATTCCATTTGTATTTATATTTTTATTGTACAAACTAAACTATCTTAAGATGTTGACTACATAATAGTTTAGAATTATTCTAAATTTTTACACGTATTTTTGTAGGTTTTAGCATTTATTACTAGAATTCTCTTGTTATTAACAGGTATTAGTAAATTCCACTAAGTAAAAATGCTGCATTTTGATGTAATTTAGAAATCCTTTATCAAAATGGAAAGAAAAATAATGCATTAATTTTGAAGGCAAGTTTTTTTTTTTTTTTTTTTTTTGAGGCAGAGTCTCACTATCGCCTGGCTAGAGTGCAGTGGCATCATCATAGTTCACTGCAACCTCAAACTGCTGGGCTCAAGTGATCCTCCTGCCTCAGCCTCCTAAGAAGCTCAGACTATAAGCATGGTCTCATACCCAGCTAATTTTATTTTTTGTAGAGGTGGGGGTCTTACTCTTGCTCAGGCTGGTCTCAAACTCCCCACCTTAAGTGATCCTTCTGCCTCGGCCTCCCAGAGTGCTAAGATTTCAGGTTTAAGCCACTGTGCCTGGCCCATAATTTTGAAGGCACTTAAAAGTGAAAATGAATTTTATGATTATAGGAAGCAGCACAAGACGCAGGCAAAACCTTGGCTGAAATCAGCGATCGATATGGAGCGCCCAACTTGAGCAGAGTAGAAGAGCTTGATGAGCCAATGTTGTCTGATGTGAGTATCAAAATGTTTTGTAAAAATCGGATTTTTCAAAAGCATAGGTAAAGCCTAGGGGAAATGACGCCAGGGTTGGTTGAGAAATGGGCCTTTTGCTTCATAGACTGAAAACCAGTCTCCTGGTTGCTGACCATATTCCTAACTGGCGTTCTGCCTTTTTGTGAAGTGTGTCACTGGCATATCTATAGCTGTAGTTTAGACTGTGAAAATCAAAAAACCTCCCCAAAACATGTTTTTAACTTCATTTTATGAAATATGTAACCTTTATATTTGGGGGGCTACCATTTTAGTTCTCAGTAGCAAACCCTAGAACCAAGTAAATATCCTAATGATAGTGCCTGCGTTTACAGAGTATGAGTGCACTTACTTTCACTTATTTAACAAACATATCAAGTCTTCCAAGTGCCAGGCACTGTGCGAGATGCTGTTATGAATAAGACAGAGTCCTGACCTTGTGGAGTTTACTGACCAAGGAGGAAACAGATGATTAGACAAACATTTAATAGTCATTATTAGAGTGATCAGGTCATTTATTGTATGCTAACTAGTGTGCTTTTGAGGATGGACTAATAATAATAGAGGCATATCAGCAGGTGTAAACCAGGGCTGCTGTGGGTGACTTTAGTCGCTGTGTACTGATAAGGTGGGGCAGCCTGCACAGTGGAGGAAGCTTGGTCAGGGAAGGCTTCCAGGAGAAAGTCATTGATTTGTCACTTAGTGGTGGCATGAGAGGCTGTGGATAGTGTTCTAGGCAGAGAGCACAGAACATGTGAAGATATAGACAGGAGGGGGGTCTGGAGGGAGTGAGGCAGGAAGAGCTGTGGAATGAGGCTGGGGGGGGGGCAGAGCAGACCACAGAAGGGCTTGTGATTCCTCGTCAGGAGATTATATTCTGTCCTAAAGGGAGTGCAGCCTGATGTGTTCAGAACTGCATGTTAGAAAGACCGTCTACGACTATGAGGGAAAAAGAACGGAGAAGTAGATCTGAGGAGGCCAGTGAGTAGGCTATGGTAGTAATCTAGAGAGACAAGACTTTGACAGCCTGGAGAAAATGGTATTGCCAAGAGCTGTTCAGAAAGTAGAGATGGATGAGCTCAGTTGGGAATACATTTGTATTAAATGTCTGCTATGACCTGGCCCTATGAAAAATCATTGCAGGCATGGGCTGGTGGAAAGGTGCTCTGGGGGACAGAGAAGGGAGACCTGAGCTAGTTTGGACAAATCTTCCTGAGGAACTGAAGTTCAAGAGATTAGCCTGCAATGAGCCAGAAGAAGGAGAGAGCAAGACACTTTCAAGGGGACTGAAATGGTCCAGGACTACGGCTGGGTTGCATGGAGCTGGGGGAGGGGCGTGATTTACAGCTAGAAAGTGGGCAAAAGGCCAGATCTTGCTGGGTTCCTAAGTGCCTTGGGAGTTATTGAAAGGATTTAAGGATTAGATCTGTTCTTTTATAAGGTGGAGATAGAATTGGAGAGGGACAGGAATGGAAAAGGGAGACCACTTAGGAGTATTGCAGTTATCTAAATGCAAGATGACTAGGGTTAGACTGCAGAGATGAAGTGAAGAGAGAACTGAGTGGATCTGAGATTGGCCCTCAGGATGAAGGAACGAGAGGTCAGGATAAAGTCCCAATTTCCTCCTTGGGTAAATGAGGTAGGGGTATCATCATTGGATAAATTGATGAATGTAAGAAGAGGAAGTAGGTTATTTGACAACAATGGCTTCAGATGTTGAGATGTTGCCTTTCAGGGGACTCTGAGATACACAGGTGAAAATGGTCAAGGACTAGTTGCTGTGTAGTATGAAGCTACAGACCCAGAAAGAGGCCCAGATGGGAGATATCAATTCCCCCATCATGGGCATGAGTGCTAACTGAAACGGGAGGAGTGAGTAGATACCTGGAAGGGTGTGCAGTGGGCGCAGCCCCCAGGGCTTAGAGAAACCATTAGAAATTCTAACACTGAAGGGGAAGCCACAGGAAGAGGAATGAGAAACCATAGCAAGAGAAATAGGAAAATGGGTGGGATGATAATTACCATCGGAATATAATTTAGGATCATATTCTATTCAAATATTATTTCAAAATGTCTGAAACTCTCAAAAAACTTAATTCCTGTAGTCATCTAGAAATTACCTAAACTGGTTTTTTTGACTTGTACCTTTGTACAGTTTGAATTGTATGAAAGCAAATTTACTTTTTGTTTTGTTTTTTTAGGTTGCTTTAAACATTGATCAAGATCTGTAGGAACAACCAGCCTAAGACCAATAAATTTTTGTGCTTGTTTCAAATTTCAAATCGTGAGGTCCCCAATTTGCATTTCCCCCCTCTGAACTTGAATGCTACTTCTTCTTTTCCTCTAAAGTCACATATGGGCTTCAAGGGTAGCCCTAAAATACTGTTTTGGATCACACCGTGTAACAGGTGATTTGTAGGATTCCAGTGGGAAATAGAGGAGTTCGCTGAAGCAATGAAAGGGCAAAATGGGAGACGAGGTGACAAAGGACACATCTGCCTGAGAACAAGATTGTCCAAGAGGCAAGTTGCTGGTCTCTGGGACATGAATGAGGCGGCCACTCTGCGGGGCTCAGGAGTATTGAGTGTGCTCTAGATATGGCGTCTCTGCCCGGGAGGGAACTGCAAAGCTTTTCTCAGTTTGCAGCAGGTGACGCTTCATAGTACCACAAATATACACGGAGGTGATGGGGTTGGGCTGGGGAAGGAGGGCTTCACCACTGTCCTGGTCGGGGACTTATCTCCACCTTAGTTTGTTCATCCACACCCAGGAACAGATTTGGGGTCTTCCCTTCCCTCATCTCTATCCAGCCAGGTGTTCAGGTTTCCCTTTTCCTCTTTGAGGTCTATGAAGTCCAGAGATGTTGTAGGAAGTTTCCACATAGAGTGAATCAAATGGGACCAAAGTTTTGGGCTGCAAAGGAGCAGAGTGTCTTCCAGAATAATCAATGAGTTCAAATACCGGAGTAACCACTGAAGGAAAGATCGCACTGGACACAGGACACACACTCTTGGTCCGTTTGAAGTTTCAGGCTTATCCTTGGATTTGGGGAGAACCTTACTAAACCTAAGAACAAAATCCAAAAGAAAACAAAGGTGCAGAATTCATCATGGGTGGGCAGGTGGAAAAAATGTGTACAGAGAAATAAAAGTGGAAATGCCTGTAGGGTGCTTGAGCTGATTATGTACAGGGATGTAGTGAGAGAGAAGTTCAGGAAATTCAACCAGATTTTGAAGCACATTAAATTCCAAGCTAAGTTTAGATGGGTATCTGCTGACAATGGGTCTAGCAGTGAGATAAGCACAATGAAAACACTTATTGGGAGTGGAAAGTAAGAAAGTGGTGTTGTGTTGCAAAGAGATGTTTTAAGATGCTTCATTTGTGGTAATTAAGATGGTTTAGGATTAGAATGCTGTTGAAGCCTTACTATAATGAAGGTCTGAACCTAGATTGTGGCAGCGGGAATTAATATCTCGTGAACACTTACTGTGTGCCTGCTAAATGCCAAGCATCGTACTAGGTTCTCATAGGTAACAGGGGCAAAACATGGTCCCTGCTCTCAGGTCAGTCACAGTACAGGGTGGCCATAAGGTGTGTGTACAGTTTTAAGCTGTACACTAAATTGCACACAAACTTTATAGCCACCTTGTTTGTAGAAGATGCAAGATAGGTGGGACACATTTCATAAGTGGACCTGGCAGTTGGTTGGATAGGGGTGAGGGACAAAGGCGAGCCCGGGTTGCGGAACATCAGTGGGGCACTGAGAGCTTAGAGGGGCCAGGCAGAGGTGCAGGTGTGGGCTGCGAGGGACACCTGGCCAGCTGGCGTGTAGCAGGGTGTAAAGGAGAGGCCCAGAGCTTCTGCGGGTTGCTCTCGCTGACCCTGAGAGTGGGACGGTAGGAGGCTACCTAATCGGGGGATACTAGAACTGACATAATCAAGACAGTTTTCAGGAGGTCAGCAGTTGAGCCACATAATTAATGTACACATAATAATAACCTCACTCCAAAGTGTCATACTCATTAAAAATATTCAGGTATAGACCACTGAAAACAGAGAATGGACAATAAAAGCATAAGCTTTTGACAATTACTCTTTTTGAAAACCGAGTGAAACCAAATATTCAGATATTAATACATCGAATCAGGATTATTTTTAGCCATGTATTACGTTATAACTATTTCTACTACCACTAGATGTCACAAAGAATCAATTTTTAAAAATCTCCTGAGGCAGTCATTTCGAAGGGCTTCTTCCTATACAGAAATAAGGTTTCCTAGTACTCACACATGAAAGGAGCAACTTTTAAATTTTAAAATCATTGTAAAATAGTGAAAATATGTAGTGGAGTCCACAGACTAATATAAGAAATGTGTTTTATCCCAACCCAGATTTAACAACTATTACACTTTTGCTTTAAAAAAAAAAAAGGCAAGTTTTTAAAAAATAAAATCTTATACTTGATGTTCTTTCTGTACCCCTCTCATTTCCTGCCCATAGACAACCATTATCTTGAAATCAGTGGATATAATTCCCAATTATATATCTTTAATGTTTCTATTCATAAATAAGATAGCTTTTGGGGAGTGAGATTTTCACTTAATGTTAAATGGTATCCTTCTGCAATTTGCTTTTTTTCGTTAAGGGTTATATTTTCAAGATTTATCTCTGCTGAGACATTACATGCACTTCATTTATTTTAACTGCTGCATAATACACCATTGAATTCTGCTGTTTTTAGTTGTTTAGATATTTTAAATGCTTTATTTGTATACAT